CCCGAGTCAACCAAAAGAGCCAATCAACTTGACACCATCTCCTGATTGGCCATTTCAGCAAATCGTCATGGACATCTTCCATGTTGGGAACCATGGTTACTTAGCATGCGCTGACAGGTTAACAGGCTGGCTAAATCTATACCACTTGAGCCACGGAGAAGCTAATGCGTCAAGGATTATTTCAATTTGCCGAGACATATTTCAAGCCTACGGTGCTCCCGAGGAACTCAGCAGTGATGGTGGGCCACCCTTCACATCCTTTACATTCAAGCAATTTTTACAAGACTGGGCTATCAAACACAGGTTATCATCTGCAGGTTACCCACAATCCAATGGTCGGGCAGAGCTTGCTGTCAAAACGGCCAAGTGAATCGTAAATGGCAACACAGGAGCCCAAGGATCGATGAACAATAATCGTGCAGCAAGAGCCATCCTCCAATACAGGAATACGCCCATTCAAAACATTGGGCTCAACTACTACTCTACCGCCAACTACGTGACTACATACCATCCCACCCAACTCTATAAGCCACACGCGAATTGGATAACCGCAGCCCAAAATCGTGAGATAAGTCTGTCCCGGCGGAACGCTCGTCTCATAGAGCGATACAACAGAACAGCACACACTTTAAACCCCTTTAAAAAAGGACAAATAGTGGCACTACAAAGACCAACAACCCGTCGATGGGACACAACAGGTCAGGTCATTGAAACCCTCCCCAACGACCAATACCGTATCAGAGTTGACGGATCAGGTAGAATTACCTTACGAAATCGCCGATTCCTCAGGAAACTGGATACACCTACAATTCCAGTTCCCAGACCTAGTGCCTTACCTGAGACCCCTAAACCAGTGCCACAAACATTCGACGCTGGAATAACATCGAACACTGATCAGTCGTCTACAATAACACGGACAAAAACCCCTCGGGCATTGTCCAGACTACTTCCGCACAAGCAGCCAGGTTTAAAGGAACTCATCCCTCCCCAAAGGCCACTACCCACACGCGATGGGGGGGAAGGAGATGTAGAATAACAATAATAAACAGCACTTACTGGTGTAAAGGTCCCAGCTAGCGTCCAGCTGGCAGACAAAAATAAAGCAGGTTGTAACTTAATACAAACCCTGCAAACTAACTGATGAATCAAGCTGGTATTTATATAGAAATAACTCCACTCAGGTACCAGCAGCCAATCACAGCCCCAGCAATGGACTATCCCACTTTAGCACGATGAGATGCTTCATTGCACCATAAATAGCTCTTTTTCTAAAGGTTGGATTATTATTCACTTAGCTTGCTCCACAACTGAGTGTTTATCTCTACCACGTTATTTTTCTACAAGTTTGACTTCTATGTTCACTTTAATATTTACATTCTCTCTATACAAATAAATATAGTATACGTTAAAGAAATATATTATCCTATATATATATATATATATATATATATATATATATATATATATGTGGATAAATCAAACGACCAGATATAAGCAAATGTATACGCGCGTGTTGGCGTGCAGAGACAGGCAAACAAATAAATGGTCATCAAATTTATTCATGAGGTGTAAACATAACAGTGCACGATGCGGTTAGCCTGTGTAAAGATATATATTAATAAATATACATATACAAATACCTGCGTATAGGTGTGCGACAAAGGTTTCTCTGGTCTTCCAGCTCATCGGGCACAAAGAATATCTTATGTTTTTATAAAAATACATTGATGATACTTGGGAAGCATGCTGTTTCATACACGAAAAATAAATAAAACAAAATAGGGCAAAATATGCAGGAAATGAATTGTAGGTAGTGTTCATTTAAAAAAAAAACATAAGACAAACAACGAAACTTAAATCGCACACCTAAATGTAGGCATTTATATATATATATATATATATATATATATATATATATATAAAATATAGTCTTAAAAGTGTGCTATAATTATGGAATAAAGTGCTCAATATCAGAGATAGAACGTGTGTAAAATAAAAGTGAACATTGAAGTCAACACTTAGAGGCGACAGACTGTTTCATGCGAGACAAAATCGATTGCTAGATTGCGTCTAGCATGAAACGGACTGTATCTTTAAGTATTGACGTCAAAGATTAATTTTATATATATATATATATATATATATATATATATATATATATATATATTAGTGGTCAATATATATATATATAATTTCAAGAGAATAGAATTCAGGTAGAACTCAATCTCAATGTCCTGGACAGAGTAAGAATATAATAAAAAGCTCAAATACTAATATTCCATGGTTATTAGTGTTTGAGCCTTATATATATATATATATATATATATATATATATATATATATATATATATATATATATATATATATATATATATATATATATATATTATTTAGACACACACACACACACATACACATATATATGAATTTTTTACCAACATAGTTTGTTTTGGGTTTTTCAAAAGGCCATGCCTATTCAGGCGCTAGGTTATTATGTCTGACATACATTGAATCGCCGTAGCTACTTGAAAAAAAAAAGTGTAGTGGCTTCTCGCCATCTTTCCCATGATTTGGGTTCAGAACGACTGAAAATCTGGTTAGAGATGCCCGCCCACTCTGTTACTTAATCCAAAAATTCCGGGAGATATTAAATACATAACTTTACCAGTAGCATTAATTCTTTGTGCCCTGACCACCGCTTTGCCGGCGGTAGAGAAAAATGACCTAAAATGACGTAATGTACACTCACCGGTTGAACAGTCGTAGAGAAAATGACTTACCTGTTGAACGGTGGGTAAACACTTGTAACTATTATCTATCGTGAAATATTACATACCAATTATATGCCAATCTTGGAACACAGGCAGAAGGGTTAAAATTGTTCAGAAAATCAGAGCTCAAAGGATTAATGAAGACTACGGATAAGTCCGGAATTTGAACTCGGACCCAAGATTGCATTTTACTCGACTATCACAATTACACTACTCACGCATTTGATAAATTCTTCTATATTTTCTTTATTTAAGAGAACACGGCTCTCCACAACTTTCTGTCCGTTTTAGCATTTAATAAATTTTGTCTCCATTTATGAAAGTTTATTAAATTTCTTATCCGTTGTTTGCTTTTTTACCTCTTGCCTGTAATCTGTCTTGTGAGTATCAGGTATTTCAAGCCGTCTTTCCTCGTTATTCGCTCTAGAAACTGCTTCTTCCGGATGTTGAATTTAAGTTACCTTTTTGTTTACGTTTTCTCTAAAATTTAATCGTATCCCGCATGTTCGGTCCATGGTATCCTCAGCATCATTCTGTAGAACCACATTTGTGCTGCCTCATGTTTCTTCTTCATCCGAGAGGAGACTGTCCAGTAATATAAGAGGACTGATATTACATAACAGTTCGGTACTATTTTCTTTGTTTTTAACGATTTATTCTGTTTCTTAATACTTTGCTTAACTTATGAAAGGCATCTTTGACTAGCCCAATGTGCTTTCGAATTTCAGTGTCGCACTTTCCGTCCTCTGTTTATTAAATTGTTGTATTTTTTTTATTTTGGTATCTCCAATTTGTAAGTCGCATGTTGGGCTTTTCTCTTTCTTAAAACATGGCGTTCAAGTCATTTCTTTGTCTTTGAGATTTTCCAGCGCTTATTGCCATATATATATATATATATATGGACGATAGATATCACTTACCGGCATAATACTGTTTTCCTTTTTTCTATCGAAGTTTTTCTATTTCTTAATACTCTGCTCAGCTTTTGGAATGCTTCTTTGCCTATCAGCATTCGGATCAATTACTAATCTTAATTAAGAATTAGACATTAGTCATTAACGAAGTCTAAACCAAGACTATTTGGGTGCCACTATCAGTAACATTGAAACTCAATGCATTAGTAAATTCATCCGAGCCATGATCTTTCTAAACTGCAACGCCATTAGCCATTATCTTAATTCTGTCTGGTTTTCTGTTAATTTTCATATCTTTCAATTCAGAGGAAACGAATAATAAATTTAGTCTGACATTTATTCTCCGTTCTTAAAATTTATGCAGTTGAAATTAAAATGAACATGTCCAAGCAAGAACCAGTATTTGTTTTCTTTTACATTTTTTTCTCCCTTCGACAACGACTTTTAACATAGGACCTTTCTATCAGCTGAAGTCTTAGATTACTGACCCACAGGCGATTGCTGAATGTCTAACCACGCCCTCTCTTTAACGACTGACTTTTGTCGTAATTTTCGAAGCACTTATCTTTCCACGAGTTGCTTTATTAAACCTCAGTGATATTTTTTCAATTTCATTCTGCATGTTTTTCTTTCTTTTCTTAAATGGCTTTTTCTTACACGTAAATATCTTATCTATCTATGTGAATTGTCTCTTCAGGACAGGGGCGGTCATGTCTCTCCACAATTTCTTTTCTTCTGCAGCTCTTAAAAAATTTTGACTTTTTGTTATCTGTCATAAACCTTGTTCCGCCATCCGTTTCCGCAAGCTGTCTAGGTTGGTTATTTTCCTCTGTTTCTCTTGTCTTCAATCTATCCTTGTGAGTATCCAATTTTCCAAGTCCTCTATCCTTAATATGTACCCGTTAAATGTCAGTGGTCACTTCCTGATATTAAGAATAAAGACCCCTTTTATTTCCATTTTCTCTAAAACATCGTCGTTGCTCACATATTCCGTTCATGGTATCCTCAGTATCCTTCTGTAGAACCATATTTCTTGCTTCAAGTTTCTTCTTCATCTGTCCAGTATCCACTGCCATATAGGAGGACTGATATTAGGTAACACTTCAGTATTTTTTTTTTTTTTTTTACTTATACTTTTGCTGATATAACTAAATGGAAGGATTTTCCAGCGATAGGGTTCTTAGAATGGTCGGAGTATACATCAGAATATTAAGAAAAGTCAAGACCATTTCGCAAGAGTGTTTGCGCGTGAGTGAATATAACGAACCCGATTGGAATTGGAACACGGTATATCAATTTGCGAGCTGTTATCCATTACACCACTCGCATTTCCAAGCGGTCACCCATCTAAATACTGAACAGTCTCGACGTTGCTTAACTTCGGTGAGCATACGAGAACCGGTCTTTCAACGGGATATGGCGGTAAGCTGTTGAAGGCAAGAGGGACAGAAGAAAGCAGAGAATAACCTACTGAACGAGCTTGTGTAAATGGCTGGCAGACAAATAAGAACTAAAAAAGAGAGGAAATTGTGGAGAGTCATGATCATCCACATCCTGAATGTCAGAGCGCATAAAAGAAGAAGAAGAAGAAATGGAGGAAAGAGAAGAAGGAGAAGAGGGAGCAGAGGGAACAGAGGAAGTGAAAGAAAAGTAAGAAGCTGTATCGGCAGAAGAAGAAGAAGAAGAAGAAGAAGAAGAAGAAGAAGGAGGAGGAGAAGAAGAAGAAGAAGAAGAAGAAGAAGAAGAAGAAGAAGAAAGGAATAATATGAATATACAGTAATCTATATCTATAAAACAGAGGGTGTTTGTGTGTGTGTCTATGTGTGTGTGTATGCTATTTATGTACGTCAACATTTCTCGATCGATTTCCATGGAATTCTACACACATTGCAAATTTATTAAAATAGGTGAAGACTAACTTTTCAATCTCCAGCACCAATGGCTTTGGCAGAAAAATCGATAAAACTGAAGGTTTTGCAAAAAACAAGGCAAAGTTACACGCAAACAATTTTTTTACTGGATTAGCTGTTTTTTTTTTCGTGTACTTGATGCAAAACATGGCTCATATTACGAGGTTGATGTAGAGTGCTTGTTAGGTTTTCCTGTGGGATTAGTTTCACATAAAAATTGCAAAAAAAAACTGAAAAAATCGGAGTTTTCGTACTATTTAAATAAAAACTTAAATAACTTCCTCATTTTACCCAAACATGTCGCAAAATTTTTTCCATCACTCAAAAAATAAGATAGTGTGGTTTCATTCCTTTTCGCTTCCCCGAATACCGAAAAAAAAATTCGAAAAACTGTTCAAAAAGACTGTTTATTGGCCATAACTCATTGGTTTTCACAGTTGCCATGTAAATTGCATATAACACACGGGTTGTCTTGTGTGAATGTTTGGTTTAGATTATTTCAGTTAAGTGGATGAAATCTACGACAAAATAGGTCCAAAATCGGCTTTTGCCATTTAGACAATATTTTCTTCATATGATTCCATTGGCATTCGAATAACCTATGATGCAAAGAAAGATTAAGAAGGATTATCGAAGTGTTAAAAGGGAAAAATCCCGAAAAACCTTTTATTAACCCCAGCTTTACAGTAAATATTCGAAGAAGGAGAGGGACGTTCATGAGTTTGAACTTGCAGTTTAATCAAGCTCTGACAATCCCTGTTTTTGTTTGATTATTAGATTTGTGAACAATGCCATACTATTTGAAAGTTATTACGGCTATAGGAAATTTACTGAATGTCTAAAATATTGAAACAATTTAGCCCCGGGCAACGACCACACAAGAATAATTTATGTATGGAATTCCTTTATTAAGAATAATCAAACACCTGCAAAGGACATACCGTAAAAATGATGATTAGGGGAGTAGCTTAGTATACCAACGGATGATGCATGCAGGCGGGGGAGCAGACAGACATTTCTAGGCAGGGGTTGCGGCTATACAGGGAGGTGAGATTATAGAATTGTATCTATGTACATCCGGGTAACGCTGGGAAATTCGGCTAGTATACAGTTGGTGCTGAGAGAGAACATACATTGCTGAAAATGAATTTTATTATAATCAGAAGCGTTGTCAACAATTATTACCTTCTTTTTATTTATTTCCTTATAAATTATTTTGCAGTTGCTTTTCATCGAATCTTCCCATAGAGTTTGGGCTAGTTTCGAGCTTTTGTCTTTGTAAGTGCCTATTCTTTTAAAGATTTTCCACGCGAACGATCTCACTCCCGATTTAAGATCCCCAACACCGGATAAATATTTTATCCCATTCCCGTGTAGTAAGTAATATAGCAAAACAACCTGCCCAGTAAAAGTAACGATAAGAAGAACACCAGCAGTCTCTTTTCCTGGGTAGAGATCCAAAGATCTGGCGCATTTGGTTATGTCTAGAGTGAAAAGGATCAACGTCTTTCCCCGCGGAATAAAGTCAATTGGACAGAGAACAACTAAGACAATGGAAAGAATCACAACAGATATTAGGAACCGTCACGCTATTCGGTTTCGTTTCTCGCACATCACACCTGTGGAACTCTTTCTCGGCCTTTTGCCTTCCAGTAAACTTTGACCTTCAAAAAATTAAATGCAATCTTTTGTCTCCTCAATTACTGTTCTTTTATTATTCTCTCCCTTTGATAGTATCTTTTTCTCATGTGCTTTCACACTCAGCTCAGTTACTCCCTTGCGTCTTAGTGGCTTTATTGACTTACTTGTGGTGGTAGATCTAGCTTAGACATGAACACCACATATGGATTTAAAAAGAAAGGACACTCAAAAAGAATTACAAACTGAAAAAGGGACACTCCTACAGTCTTCCTTAACTATCATTAGTTCTGGTTATAATGATAAACTGCAAGGCCTCTGGTCGGAAGGTTTAGAATGTCGTAGAACCACCTCATAATTGCTGTTGTTCTTAGGGCCACTTTGACCTGGTGATTAGTAGAACCTGTTAGGATTCCAGCTAAAGGAAAACAGTGAATCTCGAAACAAAAATCAAAACACTAGTAAAGTATAAAAATATATATTTATTGTAAAAATATCAACAATACATTTTTATAAAAAAATTACCAACGATACATATTTGTAGAGAAATTGCGAGCAATACATTTTTATAAAAAACAATTGCTAAAAGAACATTTTTTTAGTACAATTAAGAACAATATATTTTTAAAGCAAAATTTCCAACAATACAGCTAAATGATCAGCAATATATTTTATAGCAGAAATACCAGCAATACATTTCTATAGGGAAATGATAATCAATATATTTTATAGTAAAATTGGAGACACAAAATACATTGCAAAATAATAATAATAATAATAATAACAATAATAATAATAAAAGTGTCTTCTTATTGATATGGTTGTCCCAGCAGACTACAATGTATCTTTGAAGATATTCAAAAAGCTGTTAAAATACAAGGACCTTGAAATCGAAATCTTAAAAAAGTGGCATATGGGAACATCAACAATCCCTGTTGTAGTTGGAGCCCTAGGATTGATTGGAAAAGATTCCAGTAGACTAATTGAAAGGATTTCTGGAAGTCCATGCCTCAATGAGATACAAAAAATTGTTCTTGCAAGTACAGTCCACACTTTACGAAGGGCTTTATCTATGTAAAATATGTTTTTTTTTTTTTTTTTTTTGTCAGTGGAAAGTGTCATGATGCCATTTCTAACCTTAGGTCTCTGGGCGGGACCCGGAAAGAAATGTGTAAACGCCAGAAATCAAAAGAAATGAAAACAATAATAATAAATATTGCTATGATTAATCTCACTTTTCGTAATAAGAAACATTTTCAGTCCTCGTTTGATTTTGTAAGATTATTTGGTAAAAAATGCAATTATAATTTAATTATGAAATAATATAATTTTCTTGAATTAATTATGAAGTTTTAATTTTAATATTTAGATTTCGGCATCAAATAACACCTACGGTTTTGATATGCCGCTAAAATCAGCAAAACATCGATTATAGGCAGTAATTTACGACTCCAGAAGTTTACCACACCAAAGAGAATATGACACAGTAGGTTAAAGCTTTGTAATGAAAGATATCTGCTTCCCCTAAAGTTGTGTGTTAAAATCCTGTGCCTGGTTATGTAGAAATAAAGGTGGATAAAACTGGTGAGATTAAACTGTTAATTAAATATTAAATAATCCCTAAACGTAGAACAAGGACAATCTTCCCGCTCAGATTCGGCTCGAATTTCCAAGAAGTACGAAGGCCGAAACGTTGTCAGTGTATCATGCTGCAGTGAAGTGTAAAGCATACAATTATGATGATTAATCACCTAAAAAAATTGTTAGGAAAACTTGTCGGAATAGCAAATATTTTGCAGATATACGTCGGCATCAACATGAACAAATATATATATATATATATATATATATATATATATATATATATATATATATATATATATATGTATGTATAACTGCAAAATGGCTGAATTCTGACACAAAGCCCAAACATTTATCAAAACCAGGATATAAATCGTGAAAGGCTACAGCGAATTCTTGAATAGATTTCTCCAAACCGACAATATTATTAAATCTTGTCTGTTGAACCAGTGCCCAGATTGTTAAAACGAAATGGTCTTAATTTGAGTTTTGATATTTCCAGGACTGTTGTATCAAAAAATAAGATACGTAAATTCAATCAATTATATACACTTTTATTCCAAGCGAACCGTTCGTTTTGTTTGTATTGCTTGTTTAACGGCATATCGACTTCTTATGGGTCATTTAATAGCGGAATTTAATTTCTTTGTGAGTATTAATTATTTCTTTTAGAAAAAAAATGTATTGTTACTAATATATTTCTTCAAAAATGTATTGCTAGCAATTTTTCTTTTTGCTAACAATTTGCCCATAGATGTGACCCTAGCAGGTGCTACCACTCCGGGTAAAGGTAGATCTGATAATAACAGCAATCAAGAGGTGATGCTCAAAATCTTCTGATCAGAGACCTTACTGCCGGATTAACTGTTCGTTTTAACTCTATAATACAAGGTGTCTATAAATATCTTTACAATAAAGAAAAAACTATTACAAAAGCAAATGAACAGACAAATGTGTGGAAATTGTTACAAAATGTGGAGTAGATACTGAAGTTTTTAAAGTAATTTAATGCACTTCTATATGGGAACCATTTATTGCATGAAGCACATCAAGACAGTATTCGATTTCTTGCCATGTTCGGTGTAGCATAGCCTCATCAATGGTGGCAATGGCTTCAACGATCTTTTAATCAATGATGTCCCATATCTTTGTTGGAAACGCGATATCGTTAACATAACCCCATAGAAGTTCAGAGCAATGATATCTGCTGAACGAGGTGGCCATTCCTTCCAATCCACCCGTCTGGAAATATCAGGGGTTCATTTAACGGTCTTTTTCATCAACAGGATAACTG